CGTTGCTAGTCAACTCCACTCTCACCTATCCAACAATAACATTTATGAAGAGTTTCAATCTGGTTTTCGCCCCCACCATAGCACCGAAACAGCTCTAATAAAAATTACTAATGACCTTCTTCTTGTTGCTGACTCTGCTCTTCTGTCTATCCTCATTTTACTGGATCTAAGTTCTGCCTTCGACACCATCTGTCATTCTATCCTCCTCAACAGACTAACCTCCATTGGCATCTCAGGTACTCCATTAGACTGGTTCAAATCTTAATTCTCTAACCACACTCAATTCATTCAGCTTAAATCCTTTCCCTGTCTCCACGTGTGTGCCCCAAGGCTCTGTCCTCGGACCCCTCCTCTTCATCATTTACCTCTTTCCTCTAGGTCACATCTTCCGCAAATTTTGTGTCCATTTCCACTGTTATGCTGATGACACACAGCTCTACTTGCCAACCAAACCAAACTCCACTCAACCACCCTCCATCCTCACCGACTGTCTCAGTGAACTCAGTCACTGGTTTTCTAATAATTTCCTTCAACTAAACAGTGACAAAACTGAAATCATCCTCGTTGGTACCAAAAACTCTATTTTAAAATTAGAGCATCTTCTCGTCCCCGTTAACAACTCTCTGCTATCCCCTTCGCCTTAGGTCAAGAGTCTCAGTGTCATCCTCGACACCACTCTCTCCTTCACTTCACACATCAACGATGTTACTCAGTCTGCCTCCATCTTCGAAATATTAACCGTCTCCGTTTCCGACCCCGCTCCACTGCCGTCTTTGTTCAGTCTTGTGACTTCCCGGATCGACTACTGCAACTCCCTTCTTTATGGCCTCCCCAACAAATCTCTTCAGAAGCTACAGATGGTCCAGAACTCAGCTGCCCGTGTCATCACTCAAACCTCCTCCTACAACCACATCACTCCTGTCCTGCAGCAGCTCCACTGGCTCCCGGTTAAATAGTGCATCGTCTTCAAAATTCTTCTTCTCACTTTCAAAGCTATCCACAATCTTTCCCCTCCTTACCTATCTGACCTCCTACACATCTCCATCCCTGCTCGCTCTCTCAGATCCTCCTCTTCGCTGCACCTCCATGTACCCTCTACCACCATGGGGAGCAGGGCCTTCACCTGCTCTGCCCCTCACCTCTGGAACTCTCTACCACCAGACCTACGAAACACCACCTCCCTTTCTCTGTTCAAGACTGCTCTGAAAGCACATCTCTTTAGACTCACTTATCCTTCTTAACTTTCATTTATGTATATTATATTTCAATTTATTCCTGTTGGTCTTTGCACTGTTTGTTTTTACACAATCTTATCTGATATGTTTCTTGCTGTAAAGTGTCCTTGGGTGTCCTGAAAGGCGCTACTTAAATAAAATTACTATTATAAACATTTCAGGCTTGATATTATAAAGCTCATAGTTTGTT